ATATAACACTTCCTCGAAACCCCTTCCCTTGTAAACCCAGCCTTCTCCAGCACCCTCTGTGACCCAATATTCTCCACATCCACCAGTGCCTCAAGCTCCTCAAACCCACCAAACTCTAGGTTTTTCTCAAACCCACCAAATTCTGTGATGAAAATAAATGTGCATTTCAATTCCACAATCATATGTTTGGTTTCTGAGAAAATAAAAATGAAAACAAAAGCTGACCACTCAAAATTGCTCACAATCAAAATCAAAGAAAACAAGATGCCGCATCACTAATACATTGTTGTCGTATCTTGTTGTTTCTTAGCAACCAAACAGGGCAACTAGCAAACCCAGATCTGGGTTTTTCTCGAACCCTTCCCCTTCCTTCCAAGATCGGCGGCGATGATGGTGATGATGACTCTGCTTCTCCTTTGTCGTCTTCTTCCATGGAGAAGCAAGAGCAGGAGCAGGAGCAAGAGTAGTAAAGCAAGAGCAGGGAAGTTCTGGAAGAAAAAGCTTTGGTTTATGGGTTGAGGGAGAATCCCAAGAAAAGTTTCAGATTTGCAGATCCTAGGTTCTCTTTCGCACCAGATTCTGGGTATGTTGTTCTAGGTTGAGAGAGTGAGATTGAGTTGAGAAATCCAACTCATAAACGATCAAGGAGGAATCAAAAACCGATTACCTCGGAGGGTGGAAACCAGAATCTGGAAAATGAAGAGAAGTCGAAAAAGATGGAGAAGGAGAAGAAATGTTGGGGAAGAGTGAAGAGGAAGGGGAGAATAAGCAAGAAGAAGGTTAATTTTGAAAATGATTTTAATTAATTAATAATAAATGGTTTTTATTTATTTGTTTAAAATTAAAAATGCCACATAAATAAAATAAACTGCCCATCTCATCAATTTTCGTGTGTTATCTTTTGCACATCAGTATTTTTTCAAAAAAAAAAAAAGATTTGCTAGCATTTTAACCGTGCCACCCGTAATTTAATTGACGGAAAGACTATTTTGGTTAAAAAATGAAAATTTGAGGATAATTTTAATACTTTTTAAAGCTGAGGACTAATTTTGATACCAAAATGAAAAGTTGAGGGACCAAAATGGTACTTAAACCTTTGAAGTATAATAATGGATTCTCCAATGTCTGCAATAGAAGACTGTTGGTTCGGTAAAGACTCCCCATTCTTGGTAACCTTTTGTCCATACGAAATACCATGTTTCGTGTACAATTGAAGACTATTGGCAAAACCACCTTTATCTAAGATATTGATGATTTTCCTAAGCAAAATATAATCCTTTTCACTAGTTTTCCATGTAATGAAACTTGTGTAGCCATTCATACATTAAACACAATTGCAAATTAGTGATGAAGACTCAAATGACATCTTTAATTGATTTTTAATGGGGTTCCAAATGTTCTAGTGAGCATCAAACAGTGTAGTTTTGGAATCAAGTTTTGCCTTTATATGTTTGCCATCCAACCCTTCCTGGTGAAGATAAGCAATGTTGCTAGTCCCAAGCTTGGCTGGCATGAATATTATTCTTCGCTAGGTCGGCAACTTTCACCCATCCATACCTGCCAAGCCACTGTTCCTATAATTTATCCGAAATAATTCCCATGAGCTTGGATTCATGGATTGTATTTATTTACATCAAAGAGGAAAATATGAGTGAATATTTTTTCAAATATATAAGTATGAAATGTATAAACATGTGTAGTCAAGAAAAACACACCCTTGTGTATTGAAGGGGATAGTGAGAATAATCATTGTTGTGACTCTTTATCTACTACCCATATGAGGCACTTGTATATTATTGCTGTGTATGTCTAGCAATGCGCTAGGATAAAGGATGAATAACATAAATATGTGTTGCAATATCATTTTACCAAACTAAACGCCATTAGTCAACAATACCTGCCAACACGTAAAAATATAATAGAAATATGTTGTAAGTCGAGATTACCAGCAACCAGTAATTTTGTCCTTCATATAAAAAGAATAATGATGTGCATGATAGTTGGTCATGTTGTATAAATATCGCAAAATTAGTCATGAATAGCTTTCTTATAGCTAGAGGAACAATACTTGCTAGCTTTGTCCATGACTAAAGTGTGAACTATGTGGAATTGGAAGAGCATTCCCAACAATCTACCAAGCCATGAAAGGGATAAATCTCATCAATTTGGAACTCCAACATAGCAATGAAAATATAATAAAAATGGGTGGAGTGTTGTCCATGGAAAGGGGATTACTAATGACATCCATGGCCTCCAATATGGATAAGATGTGATTCCACGATAACTTGATGGCCCTTATTGCCATACCCACACTATTAAAGGATAGTCTTGGTTGTTTTTGCTCACCGAGCATTGCTCCACCATGCACAGGCATCCATCAGGGAGCCACCGGCCACAACTTGATGGATTTTTATCGGTAGAGGGTAGCCATCCTAACCAATCACAAGGTTGCAACTATTATCGACCTCACGCTAATTGTACCGAGTTATGTTGACTCTTTATCCATTTTCAAGAGCCAATAAAATAAAATATGTAGAGATCTGACCCTTTGTCTTTTTCTAGGAGCTGATGTCATGAAGATGTGAAGAAATATGTAACTTTTTACCCATTTCCAAAGGCTAACTAAAATAGTAAGTCTAGCCCTTTGTTCATCGCTAGAAGCTGCATAAATGTAGTAAAATGAGCTCATTGTCCATTGATGGGAACCAATGATAGAAATATGTAGAATAAGTATTTGGCCTTTTGTCCATTACCAAGAGTCATGTAGATGTGACAAAATCAACTCATTATCCTTTGATGGGAGCCATGTATGTATAGCAAGATAAGTTTTTTATCCATTGTTAAGAACCAATTGCAGCAGTAACAAACATTGCAGTATAAATCATGATCGTGTCGTGGAGAAAAATGTAGTCATGTTCGACCATGTATATGAAAATGGTATTGAAGTAGATCATGTTTGCAATATTCCTAACAAAGTAGATGAATATCGCTTCTGGCAATGCTGACTCTATTACAATCATTAGTAGGAAATAAAATATAATAAATTTGATATGGAAGTAGATCATGTGGGCTCTTCTTAATCACAAGTCCAAAGACGGTTTTGCTAATGTGGCACTGTACATATTGTGAATTCCAAAGCAATGCAAATTCATCTCTCAACAACCATTTAGTGCGCAGGAGATTACAACACATAGTGATGTAGTATCTCCTAACACCATGCTTCCTAACACTGCAATGCTCTATTAAAACTCAATTGAATATCTAATTTGCTGATGGATGACATTGCCATTATAGCACTTGAGTCATTGAGCCTCATGTTAGGTGCCCTTCCATCTTTGAATGTATGAAGGTTAAATTTTAAGTCGATTTTTGTAATATTTTATCCAAATCAAAATTGCCTGCAAATGGAAGACAAAAAATTTTCTCACCAAGTTCACTACCTTGAACATTAGATTTGGTTTTCCATCAAAATGCAATTGTGCTTTGTAGACTTGTAAGATTAAGCCTGTTGTGAGTATGAACATTCTCAATCAAGTACAATGATCGGTTGAGATTATTGAATGGTTCCAAGCACTTGCATAGGAAAGCTTGGGGTTTTCTTCTTATTGGGGTGTGCTGGTGATGTGGGTTGATGAGTCAACCGTAGTGATGATGTGGAGATTTACTAGGATGCCACCCTTGAATGATAAGGAAGATCTTTTTGGTGGCACCTGTTTCACGTGCAAAAAGCTACGTGCCACGAGTCGTCTCATTCTGTCCAACGATGTTGGTCAATAACAAATTTCCTAACAGAGCCTGAAAGTGTATATTTTCTAGCCATGCCGAAAGAGTTGGGTAGCAATGATGGAGCTTCAAGAACCAAGAATGATTACAAAACTACCAAAAATAATGAAAAAAATATGTACATTGTTATAGGAGTAGTAAGGATAGAAAACATATAAGGGTTAAAGATTACAACTTAAGAAGCACATTTATACATAGTATATTATAGCATAATAGCAAAAACAATGAATGTGCCCTCTATTATCCTTGATAAATACTCTTATTCTATAACGAGCAACCCTCATATTATAAGTGAAAAGCACAATGACTTCCCTCAGCTTTAACAAGACAAAAGGAATAAACTTGAAAATGGTGATAGGAAAATGAGGGATAATTGTTGTGGGAGCTTATAAATGGAGAGCTTGATCTCGTTCTTGATGCTAATCCTCTAATGCTCAAGAAAATAACCCCAGAAACTGAAACTGCAATATGCTTTCTCCCAGCCATGATATTTTACGAGTCTAGAGAATATTCTACAATGTTGAAAGTTCAAAAAATATAATAAAATTGGTGATTTTTTGGGTATTTTTGGTGTATACGAGGAGAGGTTGAAGATGAAGGATTTTCTAGAGGAAAAATGGAGGCTTGGTGTGTAAAAGGGAAGTTGGAGTTGTGAAATCTATTCTCATCTGTTGAAAAATGAAGGAAAAATAACATATATGTATGTAGTGTAATTTTTGCAATTTTCGAGTCAATAGGTCAGAGGTGTATAGTGGCTTAATAAGTAGATTTGGATGAACTGTCAAGCTTTGAGTGACTTTGGGCATTGCTGATAGCTTTTTGGTTGTGATATTATGAATTATCCAGTGGTTCCAACAAAACATTGTTGGTTCTAATGGCGGTTCCAACGAAGTGTTACTAATCTGCTAAAGACTGTCCATTTTTAATAACTATTCATCTATACGAAATACCATTTTTGGGGCTATTTGAGTGCAATCAGTAAAATTAGATCTACCCAAGATTTTGGAAAATTCTCTAAGTAAAATGCAATCTTTTTCAACAGTTTCCAAGGCAATAGAACTTGTGCAACCACTTTTGTATTAAATACAGTTACAACTTACTCATGGAGACTAAAATAACATTTTTGGTTGGTTTTTAACAAGATTTCAAGCTTCTAGTTAGCATCAAATGATACGATTTTGGAATCAAGTCCATTTCCACGTCTTTACCATCCAGCCCTTTCTGGTGAAGTCGGGTAACATCGCTAGCTCTAAGCTTGGCTGGTGCAAATACCTTTGGGCAACATTCATCCATCCATGTCTACGAAACCACTACTCTTATAGTTTATCCCAAATAATCCCGATGAGGTTGGATTCATGGGTTTATTAATGACCTGCATATAAAAATAGTAATCAGTTAATGAAAATAATGAAATTTAATAAATAAAAAACTAATAAAGGAACGAGACTTCCTTATGTATGTCTAGTGATATAGCCATGTATTATAGCAATAGATACTGTTGGACTCAACTATGTATTACAACATTAGATATTGCTGATCCTTTGATAAATGCATGTTGAGGGTGTTAAAGGCGCTTAGATCGAGGTAAGTCTTGATGACGTGGAAACTACTCGAGTCCAAGTTTGACCTTTTACAAAAACGTCCATCAACTCTTCTTAAAATCATCAAATCTACCTAAGGAAAGAGCCACAATCTTCAGCTTTTGCACCCAAGAATGCTTCCTCCCCTAAATATTCCTTTCCACCATTTTGATTGGACAGCGTTTACAATCCAAAGGCCCTATAGATTGCTTTTGGGGTGGAGCAAGGCTAGACGCAACATGGTTGAGACAAAACAAGGATTGTATGGCACCAAAAAAGGGTGCAGGAAAGCCACAACCGTGAGCCTTAGGTGTCACCTAGGTTGCTATTGAAGGGGAGAAATAAGAGAGAGTAGGTTCTTGACTTAAGGAGAGAAAACCCTTAGAAAATAGCATTTTTTTTTATTTTTAACTTGACTCAACAGAAGGAGATTACCATTTGTTGGTTTGTGCAAGTGATGTGAGTTGATGAGTCAACAATGAAAATGATATGAAAGCTGACTAGCATGTCACTTGTGAGAAATGAGGACGGTCCTTTTGGCAAACAACCATTTGACGTGCAAGAAACTACATGCCACAAGTCGTATCACTCTATTTAGCAATGACGGTCAACGACAAATTCTCCAACAAAGCCTGGAAAGCGCAAATTTTCCAACCAAACCGAGAGAGCTGGGCGACGATGGAGTTTCAAGAGCTGGAAATGATTACACAATCACCAAAAATAATGAAAAGGTGTACATTGTGGGAGGAGCAACAAGGATAGAAAATATACAAAGATTAAGAATTACAACTTGAGAAGCACATTTATACATAATATATTGTAACATAATAATAAAAAAGTTAAACCCTCATTTTAATTCTTGAACTATTTCACGTACCCCCGATTTGATCCCTAAATTAAAAAAATCCCTGATTTAATCCTTACTGTTTACTATTTTAACTCTAATTTGGTCATTCAGTTAAAATTTTCACGTTAGTTGACGAAAGAAACATTATGTGTTTAAAATTTTCACACAAAAATTGACAGCTTGACAAAAATAAATGACATGACAGGTTGACTAAAACTTACTCTATTGTTGAATGGAAAGAGCAATAATTAAAAATAAGTAACAATAAAAACGAATATAATACGCTTAAATGGGGAAAGAACATGAACATGCATTGCATATCCAGCGTGAATTCCCTACGTGCTTCTTCGCTCCCAAAACGCAATGCAGCTTAAAACTGAATATTATGTTACCTTTTCTCTTGTTATGCATGATGCAAGTTCACATTTCATAAGAAAGAATTTTTTTCCTAACTCTGCATTAACATTTAAACAGTTATTTGCTGTTAGGACTGACTGCCCCAGGCAACGATTTCATTTTCCTTTCCCCATTAAGTCAACACTGTTGCACAGTAACCCTTTGGGTGATCTAGAGATGATAACCTTCGGTAGTCTCAAGATGGAGTTTCAACATCACCTCCACAAAATCTCCACGATCCATCCTCTTGTTTTCTTAGAAAATATCGAACTTTGTATGTACTGCAATCCAAAGAAACTTAATTACAGTAAAAAACATTGATAAAACGTAGATATCTAACATGAGACGCTATAGAAGATAACACAATGTTTGATACCGGATATAACTGTAATGTAAGACTTTTGTGCAGCAACTTCTTTTGAACCGAGGTAAAGCCTAACGCTCAAAGCACAGGCATAGACAACGACATGTACCATCTAATCCAAAATCTGATGTTTCAGACAGCACCCAAATTAACAAAATATAATCTGATTACCTGTAGTAATTTGGATTCTTTGGCTGAGATTCATCAACAAGCTCAGCTGCTTCCTCCAGGAGAGCCTCAATTTCTCCCATCTCTCCTGTACTTCCATCTAACAGTATTTCTGCACGCAAGATGGTCAACTGCAGCAAGACAAATCTCCAATAACAAGCTCTTTCTTTTGCTGCATCTGCCAGAGATTGCCACTGGAAACCAAGTATGCAAACAAAAAACATGTTAGAAGTGAAGTGTAAGTCTGACCTTCAAAAACAGAAGTTTTTAAAAAAGCATGCCAAAGGTATTTGAGATCATGACTTAGGAGCTAAGGCCTAGTCAGGGTCAAGATTTTGGATGTTTATCAGTTTATGGTACATCCATGAAAAGAAAATGTTCAATCTTGAACTTACTTTGAGCTAATTTAAATATTTTCAAGGAAAATGGTATACAATTCTTTTACAAAATTACCACTAACATCCATTATTTTTCTTCAACATTAATTTTTTTTTTTTTCAGATTTCCCTCGATTTTCTTTGTGGTTCATTGAACCAAGGAATCCAACTAAAGTTGGAAGCATGCTTCAAATATAAGAAGAGAAAACAACACAACAACTCTACAAGCTGATTTGAAACACAAGCTATAAGATGTGTAGTTTGCTATCACCAACTATCACACTGCTTCAAGATGACTGACAAATATTATTTATCAATCACACTTTCCAGATCTTAAGAATAGCAAATGATTCATCATTTTATATAAACTAAACAATTTACTTTTTCATTTTTTCTATCAGTCTTTCTGGGATTTTGGTTGGTTAGGTGGTGAAAATTACAAAATGTAGTAATAATCCAATCTGTAGGATTTACCTGAAAAAGCATTGACTCGTCAAGGGCTTCAAAGAGGCTATGCACATCATGACTAGGGCCCAAAGCTTCAGCTTTAATTGCTTGCCATTGCTTAACGAGGGCTTCAGCTTCTTCCACGGGCATTGGTTTCCTCTCTACTGTAGCCAGAGAGTTTGATATACTAGCAGGAAGACGAGAAGTATGTGCATTCCTGGCACCTGAATAACTTCTGAATTGCAGCTTAACCAATTCTGAGAACTTCTTCATTCTGCTTTGGATGCCACCTTTCTTGATGTGAGCAGTGCCTACATTGTAGCCCAAAGAAGAATCTCCTTTCCAGTCAAGGGAACTTGTGTGCATATCTGGTTTACTAGAGGTCCATTTAGATATGCTCCTTACCCTACTTAATTTCATTCCTAGTAGTATGCATCCTACTACAGTAACAACAATTATACGTTCGACCACATTCCTGTTAGAGAACCAACTTTCCCAAACTTTACTCTGGTTCACTCCAAGATTTCTTTTCAATTGCACAGATGGCGCACTAACGTTTTCCCCGTTGCTATTCTTGCCCAATGTCAATGGGCTCTCCAAATTGGTTGGTGCTAATTGCTTAACAGCTGATCCAAGATGTCGAGAAGAGTTCATATGGGGAAGAGAATCTTCGAGATCTCTCCTCTCTGATGCAAGAGTGATGGATACTGATCTGTGGCTTAAATTGGCCATGGTTTGAGGAGCTCCTTTACTTTTCTTGGTCCCAGAAGTCTTTCTTTCACCACTAAAAAAGTTCACCTGTAGATAGGTACACTTGTTTACTCTAACCTGCTAATCAAATATGCTGTATCTATTTTGTTAAATCATTAAGGAACTCACCAATGATGGAGAACAATTTCGTGTATCGGGAAACACAGAAAGCACAGCATCCTTCAACCACATTTCCTGATCAAGTTCATTGGGCAGTCTGATAAGATAAAGTATCAACATTGAAGACAAATTCATAGTAAAACAAAGTGTGAACTAGAACCTTAAAGAATATAGTTCAAACAGTACTGTCATTATGACTATGCGAATTCATTTTACGATACTGTCATTGTGACTATGATGTATCATCCAGTATACAATCTTGCTAAACCATTTTAGTTGCCATGATTCAGATTTGGACATATTCACACCTACTACAAATTTCATGCTGTGACATTTATTCCTTACTAGATTGTGTTTCATGCTAACAAAAATTTTGTATAACTTTACAAGCAAAAGAGTCTAGGAAGGTTTAATAGAAAGCGATCTCATACAACCCAAGCCAGGCTTACTAGAAATATATAATAAATACACTTAGACAACAGAATTCAACATATGGTCTCACATTGATGGCCAAAAGAAAAAATAGTCTTACATCCGCTAGAAGATTGGGAGCAAGCATACTTGCTTCATATCTGCTAGACAATGGGGGGCAGGAGGGATGGATTTTTTGACCCATCAGATTGTAATATTGGCAAATGTTATAATTTGATTAGCTAAAAGAGTCATCTCTCCCTTCCATTTCCCTCAAACCAAACATACTCTAAAGAAAAACATCCATACCATCAAATCAATGACATTATCAACTTTTGGTGGTCATACAAAATAACTAATAATAACACAAAAATGAAGCAGGAATAATTTTTCACAACTGGCTACCAAAAAGTTAAGCATCCACCCATTGCATTGTCAAATGTATATTTCAAATGAGTAAAAGTGTTTCCCAATTACCAATGATGGACTTGCATTTGTACTGTCTCTTGATTCCTTTCCGATGACAGAATTCTGGGCACTGGGATTCGAATTTGATTCAAGCAGTTGAAGCTTTTCAATAACCTCAGCTTCATTTCCCTGGTAGCCAATATTTGTTTCTGAAGTTATTTTAATAGAAGAATGCTAATATGAAAAACATTTCAATTCCCAAAATATGTTAGTGAAACATATTGTATAAAGATTGATAAGGAGATGGGAAACTAAACCTGTCCAAGAAGGAACAAGGAGAAAACCTCCTCAAGCTTTAGATCAACACTTTCAGATGCCATCAAACACTCACAGATAGTCTTTGCTTTGTTAATCTACAAGGAAATGCAAGTATGACAAATAAAAAAAAAAAAAAGAAAACACTCTTCCCTCTTTCCACAGACGTGCTGAAATATGATCCAACGATCAAACAGGGTGGAAAAATTACCAACTCAGTTTGCTTGCTTGAAAAGCCAAGAGCAATATGAGCAATCAAAGCCATGTAAAAGCAATTAAAATCAATCACAACTCTTTGATTCTGTGATTCAAGTGATTTCTTATTCTTCCTTGCAATGGCTAAATTATCCCAGGGAAGGATATCGATGATTTCAGAAGCCATCAGTCTTTTAAGTGCTTGGCTCAAGAAGCATGGCCAGTCTTGGACCTGGCATGAAGTTTCCACATCAAGGCCCTGTCTGAGCAGCTCCCTTAAGGCTGCAATCGCTCCTCGTCTCCGTTCAGCATTTTCAGGAGACAGAGGCATGCCTAATAATTCCAATGCGCATGCAGGCGCAAGCTCCTCCAAAGATTCTTCTATCTAAAAATCATGGTCCATAAATTTACTTCAGGTGATAGAGTGTCAAGCGAAGTGAATAAGTGGCCATCTTACTTTAAAAAAAAATTTTTTTTTTTTTTAAAAGAAGGAAATAATTGTCATCTAAAAGAGGCACCTATCCTCTTACAAAATTCTCAGTTGAAGATGTTACATTCTAACTACTAGATGTTCGTCTCAAAAGTTTAGCTTTGCACTCATGAGAAAATAGATGGTATAAACCATGTTCATTGCCTTTGGTAAGAGCAATGAAGATTCCAGTTTTTAGACAAAATCACAGGCACCACTTTGCCATCATTCAATACATAAATAGAGGACTAAAGAACTAAATAGAGTGGAAATTACCTGAGACAACAACGTCATTTTCCGGAGAGATGCTGTACTCCTGAGAAGACATTGAGCACGAGCAAGGGCTTCAAATCCTTCAGACACCTTGTTCTTCTCGAAACCAATCTTTGCAATTGCACACTTCAAGAAAGCACCTATGATAAGAAAAGGAGGCATAACAAGACTGTGGCAAAAGCTGGCACAAGCTCCTGACCTCTTTGATCTATTTGTCTTACCTCAGCTAAAGCCATTGATAGAAGCAAATCATGAACATATGGCTTAGCATCTGGGTGCTGAACAGCTGGCCAACCAATCTCTAAGACAAGCTTCTCTTCTCCAACCTAAAGCAGATGAATCCATATTATCCATCCCTCAAACCAAAAACCTTAACCTTGATTTGAGCTGATGAACAGTACACAACAAAAACTAATGAACAGTAACACCAAAAGGTAATAAACAGTAAACCTCAGACAAAAACAACTAGCCATATAAAATGAAGCAGTATACCTCTTGAAGGAGACAAAGGGCACCAGGCAACCAAGCCCATGGGATTTTAAGGGAAGATTTAGGTGGGATCTTTTCTTTCATATTACCAGAATATTCCGATTCAAAAAGAAGCTTATCCCTCACATCCATTAGAAGTTCCTGCAATAAATAAATATTGAGAATATTCAAGATCTAAAATATTTCTGAAATTCAGCTCTGTCCCCTCTCCCCCCATCAACCACATTTTGAGAATCAAGCAACATTTCAGACTCACTCCACTCTCAGGTGCCTACCTGACGGCATACAACAGTCTCCATAGTATAGCCTTCTTCCACTTCGGCCCTCTTCAAATTCATCACTGACTTCACAATCTCATCTTTCTCAGCTTGATTAGAAACACCAATAATCTGCGCCAGAGACAGAAAATCTATCAGAAATCGAGTGCGTTCCCCTAAAATCCACGCCGGGACAGAAACAGACGTATCATTACCTGGTAACAAGTGACGGGGATATCGATGGTGACGACCGGAGCTTGTGCACTATCCACTATGCGAGTGTCAATTGCATTGTATCTCCACCGCCGTCTCAAACAAGGCCAACCGGAAACCCTAGAATGAAGCCTTCCAATTTTAGATTTGGAGTGTACGGATTCAAACCCAAAATCTAACCCGAAAACCCTCACATGATCTTCGCAAGGCGAACCAGAGCCACTAGAGTAATTAGTGAGAAAATGTAACGAAGAAGAAGGAATAATGGTTGCTACATTAGAGAATGTCATTGTATGATGAGAAACGGTAGACTGAAACGAAGGGAAGCTGGTAATTTTCATGTATTCGCCATGGAAGGAGCTACATTTGAGGAGGAGATGGAGGTTTCAGCAAAATGTTTTAAAAGAGTGAGAAAATACTAGAGATGAAGAAGGAATTTGTCTGGGGGGAGAAATTTGAGGTTTTTATGTGCTTGATTTGAGAAGAACAAGTGCACTGAGAAGGAGACGGGGGTTTGATAAGAGCGTCTTTGCTAAAAAAACCAGTGTATAAAGCCGTAAACTCACACAAGAAGAGATGCTTTGTTAACGGGAAAGAGTCAATTTACTATTATATCCATAGGGGCATGTTTGGTTTGGGAAGATACTCTCAGGGAAATTTCCACCGAAAAAAGAAAAAAAATATTCTCTGGGGGAAATGGGCCGAGATGGGAAATGGCGGCCATTTCTACTAGTGGGGGTGTATCGTTACTTCCCTGGAAATTTTTAGTGGAAGTTAATAGTTTTTTAAGTGGGCCAAATAGTTTTCATATTTGAGTTGAAATTTCAACGAAAAATATAATTGATTACATTTGAAATGTAAAATTCGATCAAGATATAACTATGGTTGGTTATTGAGCCTTAACATCATTTTTTAAAAAATAAAGAAAGACCAAAAAGCTCGAATAATATGTATTCTTTTAGTGGCCTACTTAATTTGTCGAAAGGGTAACCAAACACACCTAAAATGTTAAAAAAAAAAAAAAGACTTTAATGGAAAAATCTGGCAAGTAATAAGTTTAGTTTTAAGGAAATAGAGAAGAGGGAAGAGAAGATGGCTCTTTTTCAACTAATTAAATTTAATTATTAGGCTAAAAACACTAATTAATTAGTTGAAATAACCTCCCTGTCCTTGTCTTTGTGGTCTGATTATTTCAAACTAAATAGTTTATTCAAATTATATTTAGTAATAAAAATGTAATGAATATATATTATATAATATTATAAGTTTATAATATAGTAGATTAGTATATAATTATTCATAATTTTTTTATTTAAA